AAAAAAAAGAGAGAGAGAGAGAGAAAAATCTGTGTTCATAGGGATATTGGTCTATAATTTCCTTTTTGTCGGGCCTTTGTGCAGTTTTGGTTTCAGGGCAATAATGATTTTGTAAAAATAGTTAGGAAGTGTTCTTGAAGCTTCTATTTTGCAGACTAATCTGCATAGCATTGCCATTAACTCTCCCTTGAAATCTGGTAGAATCTTGCACTGGATCCATCTGGCCCTGGACTTTTTTTTAAATTGAGAGATTTTAATCACAGCTTATATTTTATAAGGGGTTATGTGTTTAAATTGCTTAATTGATCTTGAACTAACTTTGGTAGATTGTATACATCGAGAACTTCATATATTTCTTTCAGATTTTCCAAGTTGGTGGGATACCAGTTTTTAAAGTATGTCCTTATGATGTGCCAGATTTCCTCCTCCACATCTGTTGTAATGCCTCCTTTTATCCCTAGTTTTATGGATGTGGATCTTCCCTCTGCATCTTTTGGTTAATTTGGCTAAAGGTCTGTCAGTCTTGTTTATTTTCTCAAAGAACTAACTTTGTTTCCTTGATTCTTTGTATTTTTTTGTTTCCATTTATTGATATCAGCCCTGAGTTTGATTATATTTCAAATCAAAACACAAAATTTTGTGTTTTTTCTTTTCGTTATTCTAGAGCTTTCAGGTGCATTCTTATGTTACTAATATGATGGTCAGATACAAGGCACCATTTTATTTCAAATTTTTAATATCTGTTGAGACTTGTTTTATGTCCTAATATGTGGTCAAAGTAAGATGTTATTCTAATGGGCCTGCCATGTGACTTGGTCTTTTTCCCTCACAGTTTTTAATAGTCTTCCTTTGTTCTATATGTGTGGTGTTTTATTATGCGTCATGGGGTTATTTTTTCTGGTCCTAATTGGTATTCCATAGCCTTCTTGTGCCTTGACGGACACTCCCTCTTTAGGTTGGGAAAATGTTCTCCTACGATTTTCTCTTAGAAAAATATTCTGTGTCTTTGACATGGGTTTCTCCTCTTTCCTCTATCTCTCTTAGGTGTAGATTTGGTCTTTTCATAGTGTCCCAGATTTCCTGGATGTTTTGTGCCTGAATATTTTTCAATTTAATATTTTTTAAATGAGGTGTCCATTTTTTCTTCCTTGTCTTAAATGCCTGATGTTCTCTCGTCCATGTTTTGTACTCTGTTGGTGAGACTTACCTCTGAGGTTTTTGTTTGACGTTTTCATTTCCAGCTTTATTTCAGTTTGGGTTTTGTATAGTGATTCTGTTTCTTTGTCAAATTATACTTTCTTATCGTGGCATGTTTTCATTGTTTCATTTAACTGAGTTTTCACACACTTCATTAAGATATTCACTCACATCCTCTTAAGGTCCTTGAACAGACACATAGTTGCTGCTTTAAGTGACTGCAGTTTGCTCCAAGCTTCTTCCTCAGGATCCTCAGTGAAGGTCCTCGAGAGGGGAGGGAGCCAAAACAAGTGAGCAGGGTCCCACGCTAAGTGACAGTTAAGTGTTACAACTCCACTTTAAAGGCTGGGGACAGGAGCAGGGACATCACCTGGTTTGCATTAAGAGACATGCTCCTATCATAAAGCTCCTAGTATGTCCAGCAAGGGAGCCTTCTAGCAGGGATTTCTATCAGGGTTCCAGCTAAAGATAAGTCAGGCATCTGGTTTTAGAGACAGGCATCTTGTTTAGAGACAGCTTTCATATAAGGTCAGTCCACCAGGCCCAGGGACATCCTCCAGATAAGGGCAGGTAGAGAGCAGGAAGCCTTGTTGGGGAGGGAGCAGGTTTCCACGTTGTGGAGCTCAGAGAAAGCTGCCAGGCTATGGGAGACTGTGACCTCTACCCGCCAGCAAAAATCTCTCAGCAGTTGTCTTGTGCTTCAGCTAAATTGCTTTCCTCGGGACCTACTACAGTAGGATCACGGGCTTCTGGAGGAGGAGTATTGTCTTGGATGTTCATGTTTGTGTTTTTGCACTGGGCATCTGGAGTTAGGAGGTTTGAAGTGTTTCTTGGTGTAGATACCTGGTCTCATCTTTGTTGTGTGGGTCTTCTGTTCTTTGGTCGCTGTTGCCCAGTTTGGATCCTAAGCAAGTGTGGTGGCTGTGGGTTGGTGGGTGACACAAAGGGATGGGGCTGGGATAGGAAGAGAGACTGAGAGGGACAGTGGTCGAGTTAGGGGGACCATGGGTCCACTCCAGGTGGCAGCATCTCAAGAATCAAGGTGTGGTGGGAGGAGGGCTCATACAGGCAGACTACGGTAGGACTACGTGTTTGTGGGATGATCTTTTCATACACTGTGCAGATACGGCTCTGCAAAGGCACCTTCTGGTTGGTTTAATAAAGAGCTGAATGGCCAATAGCTAGGCAAGAGAGGACAGGAGAGACTTCTGGAGAGAGGAAGTCAGGGAAGAATCTGAGGCACATGGGAGACATGTCACCAGAGAGACATGGAGCAAGTTGGATGATGATATGGAGGAGAGATAATGAACCATGTGGCAGAATGTAGATTAATATAAACAGGTTAATTTAAGTTATAAGAGCTAATTGGGAACAAGCCTAAGGCCAAACATTCATAATTAATGAGAAGTCTCTGTGTCATTATTTGGGGACTAGCGGTCCAAACAAAGTCCGACAATATAAGAGTGAGTCTGGAGACAGTAATGAATGAACTAGAAGACCTGGGTCTGCACCAAAAAACTCTCCCTCTTTTTAAGAAGCCACCAGGATTCCACTGAGGAACTCTACCCTGATGACCTTATCTAATGCTAATCACCTTCCAAAGGCCCCACATCAGGATGCCATAGCAAGACTGTTTCCATCTCTTAGTACCTGGCAAGTCAACTAATGAAGACACACTCAAAGTATACACCAACCACAACTTTCTTTGCCTCCCTATCTCCCCAGGAAGAAGTAAGCCCCTCCCTTCCGACCACATCAGGAACAGGTGAAACAGGTACCCAGCCCATGACTTTCTTTTTGTATCTCAATGAACATTATAAAATTCATATTTTTCTGTTGCTGGAGAGCTTCTCTCCAGGTTCCACCAAGCCCCGCAGTCCCACAATCCACGTATAAAATAATCACTCAGACGCTTATATTACTTATAAACTGTATGACCATGGCAGACTTCTTGCTAACTGTTCTTATATCTTAAATTAATCCATTTCTATAAATCTATACCTTGCCACATGGCTTGTGGCTTACTGGCATCTTTACATGTTGCTTGTCCTGGCAGTGTCTGGTCATGTCTCTCCTCCTTCTTCCTGTTTCCCCAATTCTCCTCTCTTTTTGTCCCGCCTATACTTCCTGCCTGGTCACTGGCCATCAGTGTTTTATTTATATAGAGTGACATCCACAGCATTTTTCTTTTATACCAAAAAAAATTTCAGCCAATTTGGACAAGATGGCTTGCATTCACAGCTGCAACTACTTGGGAGGATGAGGCAGGAGCCATAAATGAAATTTAAACATTAATGAATAGGAAGTGGCAACCACTTACTTAGCCAGCGTAGTGTAAAATCAGAGAGGATGCTTTCGAGACTAAGGCTAAGGTCACTGCATTCACAAAGGTGCAGGAGATGGGAACTGGGGTTCCCCTTGAGGATGGAGAGCCATCTAGAAGTGGCCATCAAACTTTCCTGTGTGCGTTCTTGCTAGACAGTGCTGGCAATGCCTCAGCCATATCCCCACAGGTCTCTTAGGAGCTGTGCCCTTCCTTCAGGCTTCCAACTGGCAGCACCTCTAGTTCCAGCCACCAGATTCTACTCCACTCACATTCATTGCAGGCCAGAAGAGTCAAGGGGTTAACACTCTGTGTGTGTGTGTGTGTGTGTGTGTGTGTGTGTGTGTGTGTGTGTGTGTGTGCGTAACAATCCTTTTCTATACTTTGAATATGTATGACTCTCATTGGTTAATAAAAAGCTGACAGGCCAGTAGCTGGGCAGAAAGTTAGGCAAGAAAGCCAAACTGAGAATGCTGGGAAGGAGAAGGGTGGAGTCAGGAGATGCCAGCCACTGAGGAAGCAAGACATGTAGAACATGAGGGAACAAGCCACCAACCATGTGGCAAAGCATAGATAAGAAATATGAGTTCATTTAAATGTAAGAGCTTACTAGTAATAAGCCTGAGCTACCGGCTCATAATTTATAATTAATATAAGCCTCTGAGTGGTAATTTGGGAAGCAACTACCAAGTGTAATTGGGCATATGGGACAGAAAGCTCCACCTCCAGTTGTGTGTGTGTGTGTGTGTGTGTGTGTGTGTGTGTGTGTGTGTGTGTGTGTGTATTATATATCCTCAATTGATAACCATATGGAAAATGATGCATGCACAGCTCCTTCTGCCCCTGGATGATACTCAGGTGTGTGTTATTCACTGTCTCCCAGGAGAATCACAGGGCATGCCCATTGGTTGACATCTGCCTTCCATTCCCCAGGTAATTCCCTCCAGCTGGAGGTATTTTGTGGGATGCCTCTCTCACTTGAATTCTTCAGGGAGTGGTGCTGAGGATAAAGTCTAGGGCCTTGTGCATGATCAGCAAGTGCCCAACCACTAAGCTATAGTCCCATTTCTGTCCATTTATTTTGTTAAGAAAGGTCTTGGTAAGTTACTTGGGCTAGCCTTGAACTCACTCTGTAGCCCAGGCTAACTTTGAACCCACAATCTTGTTGCTGCTGCTTTTCTGAGTAGAAAGGATTGTTAAGTGTGCACCACCAAACTCATATTCCTCTCTAATTTTTTGTTTTGTTTTGTTTTGTTTTTCAAGACAGGGTTTCTCTGTGTAACAGCTCTGGCTGTCCTGGAACTCGCTTTGTAGACTAGGCTGGCCTCAAACTCACAGAAATCTGCCTGCCTCTGCCTCCCAAGTGCTGGGATTAAAGGCATATGCCACCACATCCCAGCTCCTCTAAAATTTTTATCTTGGGATCCCTTCAAATAGAAAGCAAATGTCTATAAATATATCAATAAATTACTCTTCTACATTTGTAAAAATTAGATATATACAATTTATTAATTCAGCATTGTTTGTAATAGCAAGAGGTTGGAGATGATATATCCAGAGGAAACGGATTAAATACATTACAATACAGTCATCCAGGGGAGCACTCCGCAGCTACAGCATTTTATATATTATAAAATTGTTTGAGCATATTAATAAAAAGACAAGATGCATAATAGTAAAAACTTATGTCACCAGCTGTTTAAAACTGTGTGTGTGAGTGTGAGTGTGTGTGTGTGTGTGTGAGTGTGAGTGTGAGTGTGTGCACACATACCTACAACCTTTCTGAAGTAGATGCCAACCATGAAGCTTTGAATGCCCCTAAGGAGGGAGTCTTTTCACCATACACTTTTGAGGTTGGTTTGTTTTGCTTTGCCTTGGCTTTCAGTGTTAAAAGATGAGCCCAAGGCCTTGCAAATACCAGACAAGTGCTCTGCCATGAGATGCACCCCAGCCTTTCACCACACATTCTTGAGTGTCTTTTGATTTTTTTGTACCGTGGACAGGTTAATCAATTAAAATATTTAAATTAATAATGAATGACTAAGTAGTGGCAGATTTCTCAGATTTCCTGGGAATGGAGTTATAGGTGGTTGTGTGGGGGCTGGGAATTGAACCCAGGTCTTCTGCAAGAGCAACCAGTGCTCTTAACCACTGAGCCATCTCTCCAGTCCTGGGAGACTTCTCATTCTTCGTCGGACATTTTTGTTGGGTCACCCATTCTCTATTCCATGTCCAGCTTCTCTTGTATTCTCGGTACCTAGACAAGTCTGCAGCTCATCCATGAAAGGAAATATTACTTCCTTCAGAGAAGACAGCCACAACTTTTCACTATGCTTACCCACAAGGGTCCTGTCACCTTGCCCAGAGAAGGGTCCATTAGTGTCTGCCCTCACACAGTAGGAAACCCAAGAAACTCCTTTCCCTCCAAGAGGATGCTTTCAAGGCATTGCTCACACACACACACACACACACACACACACACACACACACACACACACACACCAAGCCATTCCTGTATAAGACATCACTGCAACAGTCTTCTCGAGGACATATCTGTCCATCAGCCTCGGGACCTGGGTGTTGATCTGACCAGACCTGCCTGCTGGGGAGGTCACTCCATGGAGAAAGGGCCATTACTGCGGTGGGGGCGCTTCCTGGGGAGCAGCTTCACTCATCATGTCCTTGTATTGCCGCTTGAAGAAGCCCAGCTGTCAGGGTAAAGACAGAGGGTAAGGCCACCCGATCCACGGCTGCAGGTCAACATCAGACAGGACAGGAGAGAGACAGACAACAAAGAGTGACAGGGTGGAGAATAGACAGGACCTGGGGAGAGTCAGTCAGGGGAGAAACAGCATCCGTGCTGGGGCCAGGAAAGAGCTATGAGACACCAGGAGAATCCCTCCTTACATAGTGGTCACTGTAAGCCAGGGGCCATCCCAGTCGCTCTACAAAGTTCATTTTCTTTGTAACATGGCCGTTAATAGTATCGTTTTGCAACGGAAGAAACTGAGCTGTTGCGAGCCTCCGACTGGCCCAAAGTCATACAGCTAGCAGCAATACTGAGAGTCAACCCGATAATGGAGCTGCTGAGGAGGGGGGAGTATGGTGGTATTTTATTTGTGCTGAAATGTGATTTTATTTGTATGTTAATAAATAAAAGTGCCTGGGGGTCAGAGCTAATAGCAAGCCATTTATCAGAAGTCTGGCAGTGGTAGCGCACGCCCTTAATCCTGATCACATGACAGGCAGATCAAGGATACAGCCAGCATGGAGACACACACCTTTAATCTCAATACCAACCATAGAAGACCTGGAGGTCTTTATGGACAGGCAGTGATGAGGAGGTCATGTGGTTGGGTTTACAAACAATGAGAAGGCAGAACAGAAAGTCAATAAAAAGACAGACACACAGGAAGTAGGTCTCTTTCTCAGGGGAAGGACGACAGCGAAGGGTAAGACAGTGGTCTTGGTCTCAGCTCTCAGCTACTGCTCTGACCTCTTGGGCTTTTAACTCTGCATTTGGCTCTGTGTTTCTTATTTAATAAGACCATTACATCTACAGGGGAGGGGACAGGAAGAGACCAAATCAAGGAGTACCTTGTACAGGACAGCAGTGATAATGGCCAGGAGCACCAGCCCCCCAATGGAGCTGCCCACAATCAGTGGTACAGGGTTGTGAACTTCATACGGCTCCACTTTGGTCTCCATCTAGGGGAGGAAGAAGAGAAAGGAGATACAGCAGGGAAAATATACCCCAAACTTCTGGAGAGTTCCCTGAACTCAAGGGCTACCCCCTCCCTACAATCCACAGCACCAACTTCAGGCCTCACTTCTCTTCCCACCTGCTTCTCTCACCAAGATCGAGATGAGATCTACCTTCCAGCCTCCCGCTCCCTCCGGCATCCCCACCGCCACCCAACCCCACCAGGCCTGAGATGGGTACCTTGGACTTGACAAACATCTCCTGCCCTGGAAGAAGGGCAAACACAGAATCATTAAACAGGATCTCAGCGGTGCTCACAAGCAGGAGGTGGTCATGAGAAGTCTGTGGAGAGAGCAGAATGGGAGCCAGGCCTGGGCTCTGGACCATTAGAGCTATACCCAGAGAGCCTCAAAACACAGCATACCTTGATATACCAGTCAAATGACAGTTTGCCCTTGAGGGTGACATTGAACATTTCCTGAGTGTTGAAGGATGGGAGGTCACACTGGATTCTCTTACAGACTGCCACAGAGCAGTTCTAGACGAGAGGGCCAAAGAGACAGATTAAATAAGACTGGGACGGACCATGATGCCTGTGCATGTGGCCTCGAGATGGAGTCCACCACGTCCTTACCAGCACCGGGGTCTTCTCAAGTTCATCCCGGAACTGGGAGCGAGAGGGGGGTCTCTGCTCAGTGTGACAGGCACTTGAGAGATTCTGGGGAAAGACAGATACCAAGAAGAGGGAAATGAGGTCTCTGGTCCCACCCAGAAGGGCAACAGCCTGGGCCCAAGGGACAGTCGGAAAAGGCGGGAAACAGATCTTCGGAAAAACCTGGACTTTGGGGACCCAGCTGGACTCACCTGGGAGAAGATGACCTGGGGCTGATCCCATATGGTCACCTTGTTGAGCTGGACAGGGATCCAGAAGACCACACTGATGGGGGGGCTCCTCTGGCCCAGGTTGTTGAACTATGTCAGAAAGGAAGTGGTGAGGGCTGTAGCCTTGTGGCGCGGCTAGCCCTCAGCTAGCCAAGGCTAGCCCTCAGCATTGGCTCCTCACTTCCTGCAGCCCAGGATCACTGAATAAGGCCTCAGTGTCCTGCGCTTCAGGGAAATGGGAGCATGTAAACAGACAGCACACACACACTTGAGCCAGACTGGCCCGTCTTAAGTTCTAGCCCTGCCACTTGCCAGTTGTGAGAATTTAGACATAGTTCATGTCTCTCTGATTTAGTTTCTCCATCTGCAAACAAAGGACAGCAAGAGTGTTCAGGGTCCTGATAGAGGGTATGTGTGTGGGGGGGGGGGGGTGCACATGTGTGCATCTGTGTGTGAGTGCATATGTGTGTGAGTGTGCTGTGGGATGGTCTGTATGTCAAATGTGTTGCTGATTGGTCAATAAATAAAACACTGATTGGCCAGTAGCCAGACAGGAAGTATAGGCAGGACTAACAGAGAGGAGAGAATTGAGAGAACAGGAAGGCAGAGGGAGTCACTGCCAGCTACCGCCATGACAAGCAGCATGTGAAGATGCTGGTAAGCCATGAGCCACATGGCAAGGTATAGATTTATGGAAATGGATTAATTTAAGCTATAAGAACAGTTAGCAAGAAGCCTGCCATGGCCATACAGTTTGTAAGCAATATAAGTCTCTGTGTTTACTTGGTTAGGTCTGAGTAGCTGTGGGACTGGCAGGTGACAGAGATTTGTCCTGACTGTGGGCAAGGCAGGAAAACTCTAGCTACATGAGTGCATATGTACATACGTGTGTGAGTGTGTATGCATGTGCATCTGTGTATGTATGTATATATGCATGTATGTGTGTGCATGTGCATCTATGTGTGAGTGCATGTATAGTATGTGTATGTGTGCAAGTTTGTGTGTGTGTGTGTATGTGTGTATATATGCATACATATTTGCATGTGCATGTGCATCTATGTGTGAGTGCATATATAGTATGTGTATGTGTGCAAGTTTGTGTGTGTGTGTGTGTGTGTGTGTGTGTGTGTGTGTGCATATATTGGGGTGTGGAGCAAACTTAGACCTGTGCCTGACACACAGGAAGCACAGTATTCATGATTCCTACAACTGCTTCCTGCCTTCTCTTCACATCAGTTTCCCTCCCAGCATCCCTCAGGACCCAGGCTTCTCCTGCTCCTCACCTGGTACTGATGTTGTATGACCTGACTGGTCATCTCTGAAGCCGTGAAGTTGAGATATTTGGTAGAACTCTCATCACTAAAAGAAAAAGGAGTAGCCAGTGGGTTACAGAACATGAAGGTGTCCTGCTTGAACTTAACACACAGAGAATAGGGAGGTGACAATGTAGCCCTGGGGGTCAATGTCTGTCAGACACTGTGTGGGTTTGGGCACACACACACATCACTCCTCCATGCAGGCACATGTGCATACACACAACACAAGGCAGCTCATGAACACAAGCACAAAGCTGGCTGTGTGCAGCCTGACGGATGGGGGGAGAGCAGGAGAGTCACCTGGTGACCACCACGTAGATGGCATACTTCACAGGCAGTTCCAGCTGAAACTCCGTTTTGTGGGTCCTGGACATGTTGTTCTCACTAAAAGGAAAGCAGGTCCTTAGCCAGCTCTAAGAACTGAGAATGAGCCTTTCCATCTCCCCTTCCCTCACTCTCTGATCCATCTGTCTCCATGTCTATTATCCCCACATCCTTAGCCCCACACTTCTCTCCACCTCTGCTTTGCCAGGCCCTGCTTAGTCCAGCAGCTACAGCAGCCTTCCGGCTGCTCCCTTCCCCAGGCCTCGCCTCACCCTCCTGGAGAGTGACCTTTCTAATATGCAAGTAAACACAACCATGTTTCTCCTACAGTCTAAACTGAGAACTCCCCGACAGCACCCCTCAGCCATCCAGTGCCACAGCCGTACCCCATTCCACCAACTCTCTACGTCCTGCACCATACGCTGAAGCTATTCTTTTCCTTTTCCTTTTTCCACAGTGTGTGTGTGTGTGTGTGTGTGTGTGCATGTGGGGGGGGGGTGTACACACCACCGTGCACACTTGGAGGTCAGAAAACAACTGACGGGAACTGGCTCGCTCCTTCGCCCTGTGGCTTCCAGAGACTGAACCTGGGCTGTCAGGCTCTGGCGGGCTCACCAGGTGTGCCCCTCAGCAGTCTCTGTTTGTATTCGTCGTAGGTGGTGGGTGGGGTCATACACACCACAGCACATTACAGGGCAGAGGACAGTCCGTAGAGTCCGCCCTCTCCTTCCAGCTTTATAGAGGTTGCGGAGGTGGAACACAGGTCATCAGGCTTCACTGACTGACCCATCTCACGGGCCCTGCGTAAGCTCTTCGGGAGCATGCCCAGACACCTCCAAGGCCCAGGTTTGGCCTGGCGCATGCTTCCTTCTACCTTGATGCCTTTGCTTGGCTTACTCGCAACCTGGATATGTTTTCTTCTGGAACCTTCTCAGAACACTGGGCGCCCCCGCCACGACTACCACCTGATCGTTTACTTTATACTATGCTGTAATCACCTTGCCTATCTGTGCCACTGAACATCCGTGAGGACAGCAACTACCACTGTCTTATCTGCCACTGTCCCCCCAACACTTGAGACATTGCCGGGCATGGGTGGGTGCTCAGTGTTTGTTACATGAATGGGTCATCAAAACAGAGAACCGGTAGAGAGAAGAAAATGATTCCTCCTGGCTGGGCCTCAGAAGGAAGGGTGACCGTGGAATGTGGGAACAGGTACCTGGTCACATTGACCTTGAGGAGCAGTTTGTTCCCCAGGGGAGCATCAGAGTCCACATCAAATGTGATAGTCAGGGTGACCTAGAGTTGGAGAACCGAGGCAGTGATTTAAAATAGTGAAGATCTCAAAAACCAAAAAAAAAAAAAAAAAAGGAAAGAAAAAACAGCACAATTGTTCACTAACCACTAAAGGGATTAAACCAAAACATGATTTGCCCACATAATAAAATAATGTTCAGAAATAAAAAGACAAGAACTGACAGGCAAGTGATCCTTGAAAATGTGATGCTCATTGAAAGAAGCCAATCACAGAGGACCATGCTGTCCGCGTCTATGGATGGGAGACATCAGGAGAGGCGAATCCTCAGAGACGGTCGATTAGGAGCCCCCAGGGGCTCTTAGCAAGGTCTCAGATTGATCGGAGTGAGAGATGCAAAACTCTGAGGATACTCAAAAGCCCCTGAAGTGTCCACAACGGCTGAGTTTATGGGATGTTTTTAGGCCTCAGTAAAGCTCGTTTGTAGAAAGGGGCCACCTCTTTCTCAGGACAGAGAAGCGTGATAGGAGGAAGAGGGCCCCCTAAAACACTAGCACACAGCTGCTGCACAGGAGGCCAGCAGGGGCTGGGGCTCACCTCGGAGTTAGCAGGGAAGATGGGGTGGTTTATGCTCCAGGTGGTACTCTTCAGAGCCCGGTATCCTTCAGTGGAAGAGATGGGCTCAGAGTTCACCCGCCAAGACTTCTGGGTAAGCGGATTCTGGAACCAAGACAGGCAAATGTACTGTCAACTGCCAGCCATAGCGGGTGAGGGAAGCAGAGCCCAGATACTGAAGAGGAGTTGGCGACCTTGTTCACTGACACCTTCCGGTAAGACAAGCCAGATGGGTAGTAGATGGTAGCCCGGGTCCCGTAGGAGTCTTCACCGTCATTTCTCACAGTCACACTCACGTTGAAGTCCCGAGGGTCTCCCACCACCAGGGTGTCCTGGCTGTGACAATAACAAGACCATGAGGCATCCAGGGCATCCCTGCAGCAAGTCTGCTTTGATAGGAAAGGCTGCAGGTCCTTAAACAGGAACGTGACCAGAGCAGGCACTAGGATCCTTGTAGCACACATATATCTCCGAGGAAGGCTGAGCTCCCTCGGAGACCAGGAACACATTGGTTCAGGTTTGAGCGAAGCAATCACAGAAAGAAACTCACCCCATGAAACTCATGGTGATGCCGAGATCATCCTGGCAAATGCCGTCATTACCACAATTCTTCTCAAAGGGAAGCTGGGGACGGAATGTGACCCAAAGGAAAGGAATGGGAAAGATTCAGTGGAGCAATAAGATACAATGTTTAAATGAAATTCCATAAAATAAAAGTGCTTCAGCAAGCTCCTTCTGTTCTAGTCTCTGCTCCCGCAAGGCCCCAACTCCAGGTCTCACCATAGCTGTGAAGAACCTCTGAGCATCTACAGCCAGAACTGGCCGGAGGTCCCTAGAGGTGCGCAAGGGCTCCCCCATCAGCGTATAGTTGAGGCGCAGGAAGATGGGATTCGCTGACTCCTCCACGCAGTTCTAAGAGAGAGTGGGAATTGGGGGATCTGTCTTCTTCAGCTGCCCAAGGCCACCCCATCCTCAGCCGGGAGTTCTACCATTTCCCTGCTCACCGGTAACTGCAGCTTCAGGGTTTCACATTTCTGTGTCAATCCAAAGACCCGGGTGCTCCTGCGTGTGTTGTTCTTGGTCTCCTCAAAGATGGCACGGACAAGTGTGCTGCCAGGGTCTAAAGCCAGGTCGTAAGTGACAGTGCTCTGGATATCTCCTGAAAGGGGAGGGGTTAGTGGTGAGAAAGCAGGCAGGGGTCTGTGACCGCAGCTCGGCTCCCAGATGTGTGATGATCCACAGAGCATATGGCCTCTCTGGGGCTCAATTCATGACTTTCAAAGTTAGAATAGTAATTAATAATGCCTCTCAAATGGTGACAAAGGAGAAATGAGGACCGCCCACCAAGCAAGTCCTCCAAAAGTGGGGACTAGGGGTGGGAATTTCGCCCACCGGTAGAGCGAGCTTGCCTAGCAAATGCAAGGCCCTGGGTAAGCTCCAGAAAAGAAGAAGAAAGAAGAGGAGGAGGAGGAGGAGGAGGAGGAGGA